ATCATGATTTGAATTAAGAATTGTTTATGAACATTGATTTTGAACTATGGCACACTAATATGATACAATTGCATCTAATTAAACGAGAATGTTTAATGAGAAGGGTCAAACTCTAAATTGTTGATTTTGATGGGAAAGATAGTGGCACAGTTCAAATTGGAGCCTCGAAGGCAAGCGGAGCTAGGGCTACGTGAAGACAGCCACAGGTTTGATATCCACCAGGTAGGATATTCTTGTCCATATCCTTGTTAGCCTCACTTTAAATGATTTTGGCCAATGAAAATGTTTTAGAACAAAACATATTTAAAGAAAATGATTTCAAATTAATAGCATGAGAATGCTATTAAGTTTTCCAATGATTTTGGAAATAAGATTTTAAAGAGTATCATTTCTTAAAATGAAATATTTAAGGAATGATACAACGCATGGTGGCCACAGAGATCGGGATGTGGGAATCGCATCCTTGGGGGCAGGTCCCGAAACCCGTACGGATCCACTTCTTATTTAGTGGAATTATAGCTCTGCACTTTTCATTTGACAGACATTTTTACCGCTTCTTGTTTAGTGGTATGATGAGCTGCACACTTTCATTATACAGATATTTTCTACTGTGAGTATTTCCTTTTCTAAAAATTGATGATCGGTTCCGGGTGTATATCTTCAGACCGTGAGTTACCTTTATTTTAAATGCTTTATAAAATTATATCCTACTGGGCATTTCGCTCACCTTTCTTGTTTTCAAATGTATTAAACCCCTCCAGGAGACGCAAGGAGTAGTGCGGAGTAGGTAGCTACTCCCAGTGACGTGGACTTGACCTCGGGAAGTGAAGAGTTGTATCCCTCTTATCTTTTATTTTAAGGCATGTATAAAAGATTATGGATTGTAAACTTAAATATTACTAAACTGTGGTTGATGTCACACTTACTTTTGTTTATATTCATGTATGCTAAACACCTGTGGGAATTCCTGACTTGATACCAGGGACGTGGTTTTAAACTGGTTTGGTTGGAAATTCCACCACCTTTCTTGAAATTGAATTTCTCCTGAATGAAAAGGGGCTCGTTTGGAAATACCTTTATGTTTTGGATTTAAAAGGAATTAAAATATATGCTAATCACTCTCTCAAACAGGTTTAAGTTTCTAAACGAGCCTCCACGTCACTAACCCCAGTTTGGGGGCGTGACACCGTCCGGTCATAATATTATGACTGAAATGACTCATAGTGTTATGACTGACACACTATGATTGCCTTATGACCGGCCATGACACAATGTTATGACTTGCCATTTCTAATGACTCGATAACGACTATGAGTAATTGCATGTTGATTAACAACTATTATTTTTGAAATTATTTAGGAATGGCTGCTGGATTGAACATCTTTATCAAGTACAATGGACATTGGGACCGTGCTTCGAGATACGTCAGTTGTAAAATGAAGGGGATATTGGTCCCCACCAACGCAACTATATATTGGTATTATAGATTTGGTGAGAAATGTGCTTGGGATTCAACCACAAGGAAAAAAGTTTATTCTTAAGATATGTTGTTGAGGACGGGGAAGCTCCTGTGAAGATATTGTCTAACTATGATGTCATATTCTATTAACGACATCTCTTCCTCCAAAGCCTTTTTTTTCTTCTAAGATGACAAAAAATGGTAAAAAAAAAAAACAAAAAAAAAAACAAGAAAAGCAAACAAAGTTGTTAACCAAAAGTACTATAATTGGCACACTAAGAGTCTGGCCATTGGGCAGTCATAGTACTATGACCGACGGTCATAATTCTATGACCACCCATCATGCAGGCTCTCTCATAGTGTTATGACCGACGATCATAATGCTATGACCGTAGGCTCATCAGTCAGGTAGTCACATTATGAGCCTGCCTACTTGATGACCTGTCATAAAATTATGACCATCGGTTATAGTACTATGACCGCACGATGTACCTGTCTTATGACCGGTCATAATACAATTATCGACCGATTATAATGATATGACCGGCCATCAGGCAGAGTCACATACAAAATAAGGAGCACAATGATAATAAAAAATTTTAAATAATTGACCTTATCTGTTTTTATCTCCTCCTCTAAAGCCTTTCTTTCCTTCTAAGATGACAAAAAATGGTAAAAGAAAAAAAAATACCTTAAAAAACAAATAAACTAGAAAAGCCAACAAAGTTTTCACCTTTGTCTAAAAATCCGCCATTGATCTTGTCTGTTTCGTGGTTGATTTCTCCGGCGAAGAGGGTAAGGTTTCCTCTGTTCGTTCATCTCCGACGAAGAGGTTTAGGCGTTAATTTCTCCGGTGAAGGTTCGTCGGTTCTCATCGCGTGATTTCGTGGGTTCTCGTTGTCATGAGTTCGTCGGTGCTCAAGGTGATAGACGGTGGTGGTCGTTGGAGTTTCTTGGTCTCTGTGCACACCCGTGTTCTTTCTCTTCCTCCTCTCTCTACTTTGAATATTTGAATTACAAAAGGCTTCAAAATATATTCAAGACTTCAAAAATAAAATGGGGTACAATTGTCATTTTAACTCAAATAAAAATGGCATGGTCCCACTTTTGTTGACACAGCGATGTTAATTGTGAAAGTATGCAAAAGTGATGCTAAAATTAATAATAACTTATTCAAAAAGTGCTATTATTGAAATTAATCCATTAGTGAAATGAATGACACTTACATATTTAATCACTTTTTTTCAATGCATTTATTTTTATTATTAAAAAATAAAGTAAAAAAAATGTCATCTCTCTTCTCCCATTGTTCTCTCTTTCATCTCTGCCATCTCTCTCCATCTCCCTCTCCCCCCTACTGCAGCAAACTCTCTGGAGATCGGACGTTGCAGATCGGCATCGAGAAGATGCAGCTCGCACCACCATGGAACGATGACGGTGCAAGATGGAGGTTCTTGTTTCTTTGGAAAACTGCAATGGTTTTCGTGCCTATGAGAGCAGATCAACTAGTTGTCACTTTCTAAACTGTTTGGTACTGGTGGTGCACATCACCACCCACTAAAAAAGTGAAATCTGACAATGCTCAATGATATTCCAGCAATACCCCGACGACAATGCTCTGCCAATATTCAGTCGGAGGAATTGATTTTGTTCTCTTTGTCTCACTAAGTCTGTAAAGATAGAAACCTCATCGATCATAGGTCAAATGACAGAAATATCACAATTGAAAGTTTTGAGTGTTATAAGATATGACACAAACTGAGCACCTTCTCCGCACGCTTGATATGCAAATGTTTTTGTACAAATTAACAAAAGAAAAACCAGCGAATGAAATCTCCTTTATTCCAAACACAATTTCCATGTCCTTATAAACATATATAATTTAATGCAAAATTTTACTTTGGGAAGTCATGTATAGGACTGTGAAGAGGCGATGAAGAGGCAGGAACAAAGTTCAAAACAGACGGTAAATTCCAAAAACACATGACATGCCCTTATAAACATAAACGAGTAAACGACTGCAAATTCTACACATTTTGGACATAAATATTGTCAATACAAGCTACGTAAATTCTAAAATCATGTCCTTTTCAGCTCAGAACGGTTTTTACACTAAAAACGACGGTAGAACTTTGTGTAAATGTCAAGTTTTATATCTTACATTTCGTTTCTATGGATTGTGAATAAATCTTAACTTACATTCTTAGGGGAAAAAAAAGAACAACTACAGCAAAACATTACATAAAAGTCACGTCGTCTGTTAGACATGAGGACTGTCTATTTGAACTTCTAATGTTCTAGCTATATGTCGTTTTAAACTTAAACGACCACAATCCTCCAAATAGTGAACCACGGGTAGGTTGTTTTTATAAACCAACTGACGACAGCAGTCTTTCAAACAATAAACGACATCACAAAACGACAAAGTATAATTTTTGAAAAACAAACGACTTGACGTTTCGTCAATCTCCTTTCAGACAATAATAGAATAACCTTTAGAAACGACACATCGCTTACAGAGATCAAATGACAAACGTTATTCATTGAACGTAAAAGAAGAAAACTTCGAACGAAAGGGCATCTAGCCCATAATCTCTGGCTCTCTGCTTTTGTATTGCAATTGCAAGAGCGTTTTTCATCTAATTAACGTTACAGAGATTCTCAAGATTGATCTTCTTTATATTTTCCTTGAAAGTTTCTTGACAACCAAACAAGAATAGAAAGTGCTCGGGAAGTATACAATTAGAACATGATAACCACAAGTTCTCGTCAAGATAACAACCAAGATCGCAGTCCAAATCTAAAATCAAACTGATCAGAACCGATTCAGAAAGTGTACAAACCGAAACGATCAAAATCTTGACATCCTTTTTACAACCTAATCGTAAATTCCATCAGAATCTAGTTACAGACACGAGAAAACAGAGATCGAAGCCTATTTTAGAGGCACGAACCGGATCAAACGACGCCGTTGGAAAGCCCTCATTTCCCGATCTTTCCCCTGAGCTTGACGCCAAGAACCTTCTCCATCTTCGCCAGAACGGCCTGGTTCGGCACGGCCTTGCCGTTTTCGTACTCCTGGACCACCTGAGGCCGCTCGTTGATCTGCTTGGCCAGATCAGCCTGGCTCATCTTCTTCTCCAGCCGCGCCTTCTGGATCGCCTGCCTCAACTCCGGCGCCACCCGGCCCATAGCCGCCGGCTCCGTCCCCTCGTCCAGCTTCTTCGCGTCGACAGCCGGCGCCGCGGCGGAGGATTTCTTGTTGGAGCCGGCGTCGAACTTCTTGACCGTCTGGACCCCCGCGCCGGACCGGAGTGCCTGGTTCACCGCCTTCGGGTCGCGGAGGGCTTGCGCCTTCGGCTTCGACTTGTGGACGACGACGGGCTCCCAGTCCTGAGTTATGGCTCCAGGATATCTGCTCGGCATGTTGTTGCCGGGAGCAGAGAGAGAAAGTTTTGTGAATTTTAGAGAGAGAAATGAAGATTATCAGTTGGAATGGCGAAGACGATGACGAAGGTGGTGAAAGGGGTTTATATAGTGGAAGGAGAATCTGGAAAGTTCTTTATCGCTTTGTGACCGACTTTAGGGCATGATCTTTGTCAAAAAAAAAAAACTTTAAAAAAGACGATACTAATTTTATTTAAATTAACATTTTTCTAAATTTTAATTTTATTTAATTTTATTTAAATTATAATTTAATTCAAATTATAATTCAAATTTAACTTGATTGTGGAACGTTCTGATGCTTTGATATGTAATTGCTTGAACAGGCGCGAAAAGTCTCTTTTAATCGTTTGCAACGTGGCGATGTGTTATTGGCTAACAACTAGCTTTGGGACCCAAACATCAATATGAGATTTTTATTTTCGATATAATTATAATGCCCAAAACACCCCTAATATTTTACCTAAATACTATTTTTACTCTTCTATGTAATTAATTAATTATGTAAATTAGTGCCGGTAATATGGATCACGATACAATAATACGACTCGAAAATAACACAAATTATATAGGTTAGGGTTAAGAAAAAAAGATGTTCGGGTCAAAATTTAGTCGACCTGAAATTGACACGAAAAACACTGATCAATTTCAGGTTGGACCCGTCTAACCCGAACACAACACGAAACTCGTAAAAAAACTTAAAAATACATATATTTTCATTATATATTTTTGATTTTATTATGAACTTGTAATATCATTATAGTTATACTCAAAATCTTATACTATTATTTGCTTAATTTCAATGGATGTTATTGTAATTGAGTGTGTTATAAATTTTAAGTTATTTCTAATATGTAAAAAACTAAATAAAAGTATACAATTTTCGTATCAATTTCAAGTTCACATATCAATTTCGTGTCACGGGTCATTTTTGTGTCGTTTTGTGTCAACCTATAAAGTGGTCGTATCGTGTTCGTGTTACGGTTTTTAAAAAATTTTATGTCACGGGTCGTATTCGGATTGACTGTAAATTTAAAAAGAAACGATCAAAACACAACACGTGACATGAATTGCCACCTCTAATGCAAACGCCTGAGCCAAAGTTTTTAATGGAAATAAGAGAAGGTGTAAAAACAAAGCAAATAAAATAAAAATAAGAGAAATTACGGCCTCGTTTAGTTTGCGGATTTTAGTTTTTTACTTCGAGCTGATATGTGATTTTATGTGAGAGTTTTTTACTGTAGCAGAAAAAAATTAGATGTGACTTTTTATACTGTAGCAAAACTATAATTGATGAAGTGAACGATGCCTACATGTTTAGACACTTTTTTCAATGCATTTATTTTTCTCATTAAAAAATAAAGTAAAAAAAAAATGTCAGCTCTCTTCTCACATTGTTCTCTCTTTCATCTCTGCCATCTCTCGCAATCTCTCTCTCATCTCTCTCCATCTCCCTCTCCTTCCTACTGCAACAAATTCTCTGGAGATCGGATGTCGCATATCGGCGTCGAGAAGATGCAGCTCGCACTCACCATGGAGCGATGACGGTGCAAGATGGAGGTTCTCATTTCTTTGGCAAACTGCAATGGTTTTCATGCCTATGGGCGCAGATCGACTAGTTGTTACTCTCTAAATTGTTTGGTACTGGCAATCTGGCAGTGCACATCACCACCCACTGAAAAAGTGAAATATGATAATGCTTAATGATATTCGAGCAACACCCCGACGACAATGCTCTGTAACACCTCAAAAAATTAAACATGATTAATTAAGATAATTAAGATTTATTAGTGTGCCTAATCTTGTTTAATTAAATGATTATGTTTATTAAATGTATGCAGCTCGCACTCACCATGGAACGATGACGGTGCAAGACGGAGGTTCTCATTTCTTTGGCAAACTGCAATGGTTTTCATGCCTATGGGCGTAGATTGACTAGTCGTCACTCTCTAAATTGTTTGGTACTGGCAATCTGGCAGTGCACATCACCACCCACTGAAAAAGTGAAATATGATAATGCTTAATGATATTCAAGCAACACCTCGACGATAATGCTCTGTAACACATCAGGAAATTAAACATGATTAATTAAGATAATTAAGATTTATTAGTGTGCCTAATCTTGTTTAATTAAATGATTATGTTTATTAAATGTTTCTGATGTGTAAATTTAAATAATTCCAAGGGATGGCCACTTGAGCTTAGAATGAGCGACCGGTTGAGGATAGAAAGTATAGTTATTTTCGTGAATTTAGACGTGGACCTATCCCCACATTCAACAATGAGGGTGGACCCCAGGAGGCGGAATATTAGTTTGACTCCATAGTTAAACATCTGAACACTATGAGAGTACCGAATGAGTATTGGGTGTAATTTGCGGTGTATAAGCGGGAAGGCCAAGCGAGTACTTGGTGGAAGCAAGTAAAAAGAAGGCATGATGTTGCGGCAATTACTTAGGATCAGTTTGAAGCCCTGAATGATGCAAGAGGCTCAATTTCTTTTAACCCTCTTTTATCAGAAAGTATGAAAGTCCCCATCACTTTCTTGTAATTTAATTTCAGTAAAATGTGAGGCTTGTTTAGAAATTTCTTTAATAATTTGCCTTTGATTTTGATTATTATGTTCCTAAATGTTTAATTACTTTCCTAATCATGTTTAACTTCTAAACGAGCCTCCACGCCTCAAAACAAACAATGCAGTTTAATTAAGTTAATTTTCTTTAATTAAACTCCAATAATCACAGTCCCATCTTTGGGGTCGTGACAGTTAGGTAAGCTCTAATTTCGATGACGAAATTCCTTAAAGAGGGGGGGGGGGGGGGGGAGCTGTAACACCTCGAGGAATTAAACATGATTAAATAAGATAATTAAGATTTATTAATGTGCCTAATCTTGTTTAATTAATGATTATGTTTATTAAATATTTCTTATGTGTAAATTTAAATATTTCCAAGGGATGGCCACTCGAGCTCATAATGAGCGACCGACTGAAGATAAAAAGTAGAGTTATTTCTGTGAATTTAGACGTGGATCTATCCCCACATTCAACAGTGAGGGTGGACCCCAGGAGGCAGAATATTGGGTTGACTCCATAGTTAAACATCTGAATACTATGTGAGTACCGGATGAGTATTAGGTGGAATTCACAATGTATAAGCTGGAAGGCCAAGCATGTACTTGGTGGAAGCAAGTAAGAAGAAGACATGATGTTGTGGCAATTACTTGGGATCAGTTTGAAGTCCTGAATGACGCAAGAGGCTCAGTTTTTTTTAACTCTCTTTTATCAGAAAGTGTGAAAGTCCCCATCATTTTCTTGTAATTTAATTTCAGTAAAATGTGGGACTTGTTTAGAAATTTCTTTAATAATTTACCTTTGATTTTGATTATTATGTTCTTAAATATTTAATCACTTTCCTAATCATGTTTAACTTTTAAACGAGTCTCCGCATCACTAACTCCTGTTCTGGGGTGTGACATGCTCCGGCAATATTCCATCGGGGGAATTGGTTTTGTTCTCTTTGTCTCATCACTCTAAGTCCTTAAATATAGAAACCACATCGATCATAGGTCAAACGACACAAATATCACAATTGAAAATTTTAAGTGTTATAAGATATGAACAAATTATCTAAAAGATATTAAAAGATTACCATAAGATATGAAAAAATAATCTATAGAATATGAAAAAATAATTCACAAATATGAAAAGTAACTTGTAAAATATTAATTACGTAAGATAAATTTTAAAATAATAATAAAAGTAAAATAATGTTTATTGATGATTTTTCTGAAAATTTCAGAAAATCCGCCAAAGGGAATTTTCGTCCTTGAGTTGAACTCTTCCGCAAGGCCAAATTTTTTGGCGCCAATTCTTCCATTTTTATAAATATATATAATTACCGCCCGTGCATAGGACCTAGCCTTCCACCTTTTCAACTTCCATTCATTTCTTTTTGTTTCCCAAGATGCAGCGCCAAAAATCCATTCTCTCTTTCTTCCAGAAACCCTCGTCGGAAAACCAGAGCTCCGGCGACCGGCGATTGTCTCAGTTTCCGGCTACGCAACAGAGCCAAAAGGTTGCCGGTTCTCGTCAGCCAATGGCGGCGGACTCCGCTCTCGAAATAACTGGAACCGACACTCCGCCGGAGAAGGTGCCGCGTCAGATTCTGCCGGCGAGTTATGTCGGAAACGAGAGCAAGAGTGGCTCCTCGTTGTTCTCGAGCATCATGCATAAGTTCGCGAAGCCCGGTGACAGAGAAAAGGCCTCCGAGAGGTAAAGATTTTTGCACGATAGATACATTAGGGTTTCACTGTGTAGTTTTCCAGTGTTGCTTTACTTACTATTCGACTGCTGTTCAAGATAGAAATGAGGATTATCAAAAGCAATTTATGCTGAAAATTGAAATCCTGATAATGGCGTTGGTGAAAACAATCTCTGAAATTGCCTGCATTGGAAATTTTGAACGCAAATACTACATGATTCAAGTTGATTTTCAAGCATTGAATCATTTCCACTTCGCAATATTTTCAATTCTATTCCCAAGTCTCAACTACTCTAAATTTTGTAACTAGAGTTTGTCAGTTATTGCTTATCTAAGAGAGGGAAAAAAATGAAAACAAGAAATACAGTAGTTTTGTTATTGGTTAAGTGAATTTTTATCCGTATCATAAGATCCTGGCATAAGTTGTTCTCGAGCATCATGCATAAGTTCGCGAAGCCCGGTGACAGAGAAAAGGCCTCCGAGAGGTAAAGATTTTTGCACGATAGATACATTAGGGTTTCACTGTGTAGTTTTCCAGTGTTGCTTTACTTACTATTCGACTGCTGTTCAAGATAGAAATGAGGATTATCAAAAGCAATTTATGCTGAAAATTGAAATCCTGATAATGGCGTTGGTGAAAACAATCTCTGAAATTGCCTGCATTGGAAATTTTGAACGCAAATACTACATGATTCAAGTTGATTTTCAAGCATTGAATCATTTCCACTTCGCAATATTTTCAATTCTATTCCCAAGTCTCAACTACTCTAAATTTTGTAACTAGAGTTTGTCAGTTATTGCTTATCTAAGAGAGGGAAAAAAATGAAAACAAGAAATACAGTAGTTTTGTTATTGGTTAAGTGAATTTTTATCCGTATCATAAGATCCTGGCATGTACAACGGGATCGGACTCTCTGATATGTATTATCTCCATATGGAATTCACATTTTGAAATGTATTGTTATTCATGTGGTATTTCCAGGAATGTGCCTTCTGAAAAGTCTATTGAGCCCAAGCAATTGTGTAAACGAGAAGTGAGTTCTCAGCGTTCTAGAGAGAATGACACTATGATACCCAAAGGGAAAGTTGATCAAAGTTGTGTCATTCATGTTGATAGTGAAGATGATATCCTCGGGCCAGAAACACCAGGAGCACAGCGTCTTGTTCCACGGTTAAAAAGGATTCAAGAGGGTGGTCCAAAGTCTGAGGATAAGTATGGCGGATCATTGCTAGGTTCTAGCAAAAAATTGAAACTCTTAGAGGAACCAACACCCTCTAAGAATAATCATGGGCAAGTATCTGACACTGCTAGCAAATTTGAGTGGCTTGATCCATCTCGAATCAGAGATGCTAATGGGAGGAAGCCTGATAATCCTCTTTTCGACAATACAACACTTTATATACCTCCTGATGCTTTGAAGAAAATGTCAGCATCACAAAAACAATATTGGAGTGTCAAATGCCAATATATGGATGTCGTGCTTTTCTTTAAAGTGGTTAGTTAATGCTTCCAATAGCTTCTGTATTCTTTTGTTTATGCTACTGCCCTTATTTAACTCCGTGACATACAGGGAAAATTTTACGAGCTTTATGAACTAGATGCTGAAATAGGTCATAAGGAGCTTGATTGGAAACTCACATTCAGTGGGGTTGGAAAATGCCGACAGGTAAGTGTCAAGCATTAAGTTGTCTGGTTAAACTACTTACATTTTACCAGCTTCTCAACGTTGGTTTTTTTTTTTTTTTTTTTAATGTAATTTGCATTATATTCATGTTGTTAACCAGGTTGGTGTCTCTGAAAGTGGGGTTGATGACGCTGTTCAAAAGCTGGTTGCACGTGGGTAAGAGAATGCATCATATGCTTACTTAAACAGCTATTTGCATCATACTTGAGACAAACAAGGAGATAAGCAATTACTTTTATGTGGCTACAAGTAGACTACGTACTCTGACTATCTGTTGATACTGGTTTGAATTTCCAAGAGTCATTAACTTATTGACAAAACTCTTTCGAGGAGTGCAAAATCAGTTTCTGGAACCACAATCTTTGTAGATTTTTTTAATGTGCTATACTTTTTGATAAAATAATGGAATAGAATAATTTAAAAGAATGTATTGTTCCATACACTGCATTTACATGAGGGCTCTTTGATCTCCGTTTGATGCCAGTTTTATGTGTGTGTGTGTGTGTGTATTGTTTTCCTGTGAGATATTGACTGCCATATTTTATTATTATTATTATCATTTAATTTTTACTTCACTTCATGCCATGTATGTCACTTTTTTCTACATTTGTGAAGGTATAAAGTTGGCCGAATCGAGCAATTGGAAACATCGGGTGAATCAAAAGCCAGAGGTGCAAATTCTGTAAGTTTATATAAGCGGGGCAGATCCAATAGTACAAAGGTTCTAATTAGGTTTGAAATGATGAATTCTAATACTTTGTTCTTAGCTCCCACATATAATCATTTACTTTGTTTTTGTTGTGGTCAAAGAGAGTTTAAACTAGCCATATGTTTGAGAAATGAAATAAATATTTATAACAGTTTGTAGCTATAACTCCCTGAAAACTAAATACATTTGAACAAATCCAAGCCAAGTCGAGATTGTTGCACTTAATTTCAGTGTCCAAATAACTATTGAGGTTTGTATTATAATGTCTGATCTCAGGTTATATCAAGAAAACTAGTTCAGGTGGCCTCCCCTTCAACTGTAACCGATGCTAATATAGGACCTGATGCAGTTCATCTCCTTGCAATAAAAGAGGTTTGTTATCTTAGTAATCTTTATCTATTTATGAGCAGGTGACTTTCAGATCTGGGGTTCTAATAACGTCTTCTGGATACCTTCTTATCAATTGCTTAGCATTTTAATCTTTCAAGTTTGCAATGGTTGCCCTTATATTGTGTTGGATGGAAGCTCTATTATAGTGCCTAGTTAACAGCCAGAGGGATTATGTTGTAGTTAATCCTCTCTTTTATCTCTATACTTGGGAAATTGCTGTGATAGGAAGAGCTTCTTTTTAAATTAGTAGGCAATAAGTAAAAGGGATTATCAAAACATTTTTCTGTAAGTAGATTTTAAGTTACATTATAGTTTTATCACGATTTCAACATTTGGAAAAAAAAGAAAAAAAAAAAAAAAAAAAAAAAAAGAAAAAGTATCTAGCAAGTCCCTGTTACTTTCATGGAAAAGTTAGTCCTGCTTGAGGAGATATTGTCATTTATCTGCTTCTAATTATGTAGTTTATCTTGAGCTATCTATCTTCTAATGTTGTTCCATGAAGGGATGTCAAAACTAATACTCTGTGAATTTGATTTTATTTCAGGGTATTGAGCTGGATAATGGAACAAATGTTTATGGGTTTGCTTTTGTTGATTGCGCTGCCTTAAAATTTTGGATTGGTTCCATTAAAGATGACGTATCCCATGCTGGGTTGGGGGCTTTGTTGATGCAAGTATGCTCTCTTACCAGTTCTGTATAATTTCTTATTACGCTGTTACTGAAGCTTAAGAAGTTGAATTTGACTCTCTTATTTGGATTTGATATCAGGTGTCACCTAAAGAAGTTTTATATGAAAGTAGAGGTGAACTTTTTGGTCCCTCTGTCCCATCTCCAAATCTCTTTCCTCTTTCGTCGCTTTCTTGGTTTGTTGGAGTATCATTTTGAAGTTTACATGAAAGGTTCATTATGATTGAAAATGTAAAGTTGATTTATTGCAGGTCTGTCCAAGGATGTTCAACAAACACTCAGAAAGTACTCTTTAACAGGTCATATAATCACATCACCACTTTGTCTAATTGGCAATGCTTGGTGTTGACACATAAAATACCTGTAGCATAAAGTTAAAATGTTTTACGACAACAATAAACATCTTATACTTTTGCGTGCACATATATTTTCTTGGAGCACAATTAAGCGTCTTTTAATAGCAAAATATGTACTTGAATGTTTATGTTGTTTGCTAAGTAACACTTGTGATACCTGCTTATCTGAGTGCCAATCTATTAAATAAACACAACTCAAATCAGTTAATCTGTAACTTTTAGTACATATTTTGAACCTATTTTAGTTTTGCCAAATTGGATTTAATCTCGCAGGGTCTTCAGCTGTACAGTTGACTCCACTGCAACCAATTACTGATTTCGCAGATGCTTCTGAAGTGAGAAACTTAATTCAGTTGAAGAAATACTTCAAGGGGTCTTCTAGTTTGTGGAATCATGCACTTGACAATGAGACCCACCATGATGTCACCTTATCTGCTCTTGGTGGACTTGTTACTCATCTATCCAGATTGATGGTAAGCTCGCTTCTTATGATTTTATCTTTAATCACTCAGAAAACTACACGGGTCTCCTTTCATCGTTCCTAAAAGAATCCCTGCTCTGCCTGTTCACTCCTGATTACTCCATTAATTTTATTGACGTTTTATAGTTTCCATGCAGTTAGATGATGTTCTACGAAATGGCGATGTATTACCTTACCAAGTCTATAGTGGTTGCCTTAAAATGGATGGACAGACACTAGTAAATCTTGAGATCTTTAGTAACAATGCTGATGGTGGTCCATCAGGTAAGTGCCTGTGATTATTTAGCTTCAAGCATACTTATTTCATATTAATGTTTCACTTACGGGTTTAATGCTGATTGGATATATAGGTACATTGTATAAATATCTTGATAACTGTGTGACATCATCTGGTAAACGGCTTTTGAGGAGGTGGATCTGCCATCCATTAAAAGATGCTGAGGAAATTAATTGTCGGCTTAATGTTGTTGAAGATCTACTTGCACATTCAGAAATCATGTTACTTGTTTCTAAGTATCTTCGCAAAGTTCCAGACATAGAAAGGTTGCTTGGACGGATTAGGGCTAGTGTTCAGTCATCAGTTGCTCTGTCACTGCCAGTGGTTGGGAAAAAAGTGCTGAAGCAGAGAGTAAGTCTTCTTTTACTTATAGAACTATATCTTTCTAAGGGATAGTGAAACTAAACATACATTTAGTGAATTATTCTTACTTCCCTTAAAAAAAAAAAAAGGCTTTACTCCTTATGCTATTAGATAACCCAAATGGTATAGTTTCATGTTTTTGCAAATTATTAAAAATGCCACTAAATTAGCTCACAAGTTTTTCTTCCTTTTTTTCCTTTTATCCTTTCACTCTTTTCTTTATTTATTTACTCGTCTTTTAATGCCATATCATGATGATAAGTGCAGTTTCTCATGCAACTATTCATATGTAACTAATAAAATCTTTTCGTGTGGTCAAGGTTAAAGTATTTGGAACACTAGTGAAAGGTCTCCGTGCTGGCTTTGACTTGTTGCATCTTGTAGAGAAGGAAAAACGTACATTTGCTCTTTTGTCAAAACTTTTTAAGCTTCCAGTGCTGAGTGGAAATGATGGGCTTGGTCAGTTTCTTACCCAATTTGAAGCAGCAATAGACAGCGACTTTCCAAACTATCAGGTCTTTTGTTTCCGATTAATCATCTCTTTGTGTGCTACCCAAACTAAGTTTTCTGTTTTTTCTTCTTAACATTAGAACTCCTTCACTGTTGGTCTGTATCTCCTCCATCGTGTTCCCTTGCTGTTTATTAGAAACCTAACATTGTTTGTCATTTTAACTTCTGTAAGATGTGTACCATTAGGTATTATTGAAAGAAGTTCCATCGCCTTTAGCAGGAACCTTAGTAGTTGTAGCTAAATGGTACCGTGAAATGCCAATTTTTTGTCAAAAAAGAATGTTTTTTAAGTTAGGATGTCTCTTTGGCAAGTTGGCTTTTTTTCTTTCCACTCTCTTCTGTTTGAGTAAGGAATGCATGATTTTTTCCCCGTTTTAGTACATTGGTATACTTAACTAGTGCAGATTTTAGTTTGTAACTGCATCGGTATAAATGCACGTTTTCAACTTTGGCTTTTGCATCCCTCTACACATTACTGACACCATATTCGATTTTGATGCCCAGAATCATGATGTAACAGAACACGATTCAGAGTTGCTCTCGATTCTGATTGAACTATTTGTTGAGAAAGTGACTGACTGGTCTGAAGTTATTCATGCCATCAACTGCCTTGATGTGCTCAGATCCTTTGCAGTTACAGCTAGTTCTTCGAGTGGGTCTATGTCAAGACCTGTCATTGTGCCTCGACTGAAAAATCTGACTTCTAGTGAGAAGACCAGAGGTCCTGTTCTTAAAATCAAAGGGCTGTGGCATCCATATGCCTTTGGAGATAATGGACGAGTGCCTGTCCCAAATGATGTGGTTCTTGGTGAGGGTACAGATGATTATCATCCACATACTATGCTTTTGACTGGACCTAACATGGGTGGTAAATCAACACTTCTGCGTTCCACCTGTCTAACTGTAATACTGGCTCAGGTTCTTTTTTCTTTATGCATCTTCTCCATTTAGCTTGGTCACTTTTTGCATATACTAGAAACGTTGACCATGCTGATCTTTAATTTCAACTCTTTGATCTTGCAGCTGGGCTGTTACGTGCCTTCTGAAACGTGTGTTCTCTCACTTGTGGATATTATATTCACACGACTTGGCGCAACGGATCGAATCATGGCAGGCGAGAGTAAGTTCTTGTTTGGTTGGAAAACGTAGTTTGTTGTTTTGAGTTGGTTAGTTAATAAGCAATCCAGAGATGGCTTTGGAGTGAGGCTAGGAACTGATGTTATTTGTACCGACACACTAGAATGGTAGCAGGTGATTGGTGGCAGTGGTCATGGTGACTGGGGGTGCAGTATGCTTGAATTAGGTTCTTGCATCCTTGGAGTTTGTGCTGGTGGGATCTCATTTTGTTGTTCATTGTATGGTTATGAGATGGTTCAGAAATAATCATGCATCTTGTTAAAAAGTTTAAAAATATTTGTTGAATGCAGCTGATCAACTTTAGATAAAGGATTTATTTTATGAGTCTTATTTTGGATGCAGATTTTGATCTCATCATAGTGATATTAGTTTTTTGGGGCATAACAATTCAACTGTCTGTATGCCTAAACTATTTTGAATTCCATAATTCAATTTTGAAAAGTCTCCGTTTCTGTTAGGTACCTTCTTCGTTGAGTGCACAGAAACAGCATCAGTTCTTCACAATGCCACTCAAGATTCTTTGGTGATTCTTGATGAATTGGGTCGAGGAACAAGCACGTTTGATGGATATGCCATAGCATATGCTGTAAGATACTCACTTATATATGTGATATAATGCTAGATGCATGTACACACACATCATGGTAGTAGCTAAAAAGGGAAAATAACACATTGCTTGGCACCATTGTTAATGTTATCTAAGCGTTCAACTTGGTGTGATTGTATGACCATGTAGTTTCCAGGCTGTAAAATAAAAAGGAAAAGAAAAAGGAATTGTATGGCTTGTATTTGGCTGTAAAATAAAAAGGAAAAGAAAAAGGAATTGTATGGCTTTTATTTCTGAACATATGTTTAAAACTACTTCACGCCCTCGTTAACTATCTGTCCATATTTTTCAGGTATTTCGCCATCTTATCGAAAAAGTCAACTGCCGCTTACTCTTTGCAACTCACTACCACCCACTCACGAAGGAATTCGCTTCTCATCCGCATGTCACCCTCCAACACATGGCCTGCAGTTTTAAGCCAAATTCAGAATGTTTTTCCAAAAACGAGGAACTTGTTTTTCTGTACCGCCTCGCCTCGGGGCCATGCCCGGAAAGCTATGGATTGCAAGTGGCAACCATGGCCGGAATTCCAGAGCAGGTGGTCAAAGCAGCTTCCAAGGCTAGCCAAGTAATGAAAAGGTCAATTGGAGATAGTTTTAGGTCTAGTGAAGTGAGGTCAGAATTCTCCAGTCTCCATGAGCAGTTGTTGAAAAGTCTGATAGCTCTCTCACGGATTGAAGATCGTAGTGCTGATGAAGAAGATGATGTTTTCGACTCATTGCTTTGCTTATGGTATGAGATAAAGAGGTCTTATAGATCAGGCAACTAAAGACAAAGGCACTTGTTTTGCTTTTTTGATTAATGTAAAATATAAATTTTCGAGCTTTCATGGTGATATTAAGAGAGAGAGAGAGAGATTTAGATTAAAAAAATTCTTGAAAAATTTTATTCACACCCCCCAAAAACTATAAAGGCACTCCTTAATTGGTAAAATGACGAAAAGAACAGCGAAGAAACATAACAAAGAAGCAAATATCCAACCACAAAGCAAATATGCACTTCCTCATGTCCTCATGAAAATTCTAACAGAGAACGGTTTCACAGCCATAAATAAGAGTAGACTTAAGAATCAAGTGAATTTAACTACGGACGTTGCACCCTTTTCATAACTATGAGTGTTCTACAATGATGACAGTTCTTTTCTGACCCAATTTTCTTTAGGCTAACTTCTTCCTTTTTATTTTCTCTCTCTCTCTCTCTCTCTCTTCCCTCCGTCTCCAGCAACAAGCAACTCTCTCCAATTTTGAACCCATGCACCCTTGCTTGCCTTTTATTATTATTATTATTATTATTATTATTATTTTTATATTTTTACTCTCCCTCCCACACCTCCATTGCTTGCAATAGGCAGGAAAAAAAAACACAAGACAAACAGATGCAAGAGGCAGAAAAAAAAAATTAGTTGCAGTTTTGATGGATTCAAAATTTTATCTAAGTTTTGTGTTTGGATTTCAAAATTGGTTGTCGCTATTTTTTTTTTTTTTTGGTGGGATATCGCCAATGATAATACGGAAAACACGTTACTTTTGTGGGTGTAATTGTTTTGAAATTACATAAAGTCCATTTGAGTGCAAGGGTATAACTGTAATACAAAAGTAGTTTTTAAAGAAGGGGGTGCCATAATAAAAGACTGGGTTGTAAATATAATTTCCCAAAATTTTCCTTTAAAACATCTCCCATAGGCCATAGTGGAGCTGAACAAACTGAGGAGAAAATCGTGGTAGAATTCTTCAAATGTCTGTCCCTAACCATAGAAAATGATTTAACAATTTATAAGAAAAAAAAATTAAGAAAATAATATAGCCTCTTCCTTAAGCTGATAATCCGGCTATTTTATATCCATTTTTCACTCCGGAAGAAAAAAGGGGGTAAAAAAGAAAAAAAAAAAAGTCCTCAAAACATTTTCTGAAGTTTTTACTTACAAAAAGAAAAAGTTCTCTTGGAGAGCTATATAAGTTCGACGTAGGTTATTTTAACTGTTTTTCAAACTTTCTCGCTAACGGTTTTATTTCTTTCCCTCCTTTCCTTCCTCCTATCCTATGCACTTCCATGGATAAACACAATGAACTTCCCAAGTCCAAGAGGAAAGAACTCAGCCTCTCTTGCATGCTCAACACCGAGGTCGGCGCGGTCCTGGCCGTCATCCGCCGTCCTTCCGACCCCAACTCCTACGGCCACCTCTCAACCGCCGCGGATGACACCATCGACAGCGCGCTCATCCAATCCCTCAAGTCCCTCCGCGCCCTCGTCTTCAACCCCCAACAAGAATGGCGAACGGTCGATCCCCTCATTTACCTCTCCCCGTTCCTCGACGTCATCCAGAGCGATGACGTCCCCGCCGCCGCCACCGGCATCGCCCTCTCCGCCCTTCTCAAGATCCTCAAGCTCGGGGTCTTCGACGAGAAGACCCCCGGCGTGAGGCAGGCCATCTCCGCGGTTGTCGCGGCCATAACCGCTTGCCGCTTGGAGAAAACCGATCCGTTCTTCGAAGACGCCGTGATGATGAAGATTTTGCAGGTCCTTACGGAGACAATGCACCACCCCGCTTCGGCTCTTCTCAGCGATCAATATGTTTGCATCATTGTCAATACATGCTTCCAGGCAAGGATTTATTCAAATCTCCATGAATATTCTCAAGCATAATATGGAAAAAAAAATTTCTTTTTATTTTTGAAAGGAAACTTAAATATTTCTAATATAACGTAGTTATCCTTTGGATAAATTTTAAAAATTTCTCCGACTTATAGTTATTTTTCGTCTTATTCTTTGATTTTTTTTTTTTTTAAAGTTCAAGATATGCACTGACCACTTTATAATTCGAGAAAAAGTTAACAAACTTTATCATAATTCTTTTGCAAAATATGGAGATAAATTCAGTGATATTTTGAGAAAATGATTTTGTTTTATTTCGACATGAACATCAATATAGATATATTCATTATTATTTTATGTACATTTAAGGTTTCTGATAGCTTTGCCAATACTGATATTTTCATCCTTAAATGCAGGTGGTTCAGCAATCCATAGGCCGCGGGGATTTGCTCCAGCGAAGCGCCAGGTACGCGATGCACGAGCTAATCCAAATAATATTCTCTCAGTTGCCGGAAATCGAGGCCCGGGACGGAGAGGGGGCTTTTGAGACCGACGTCGAAGACGCCGACCTCAACGGCTACACGGATTCGCGGTACCGAATCCGCTGCGCGGTCGACATCTTTCACTTCCTGTGCTCTCTCCTGAATGTGGTTGAGCAGTTGGAGACAGAAGGCTCAACATTGCGCACTGCTGAGGAAGATATCCAGTTTTTTGCTCTGGTTTTGATAAACTCCGCCGTAGAATTGAGTGGAGATGGTATTGGGAGACACCCAAAGCTTTTGAGAATGGTCCAAGATGATCTGTTTCACCATTTGATCCATTATGGGACTTGTTCGAGCCCGCTTGTTTTGTCCATGATTTGCTGCACGGTTCTGAATGCCTATCACTTTCTTCGCAGGTTCAACATTCTGTTTGAGAAAGTTCAGTTTTCTCTTTCGCTTATTATTTTTAGCACAAAAGAATTCTTTTCTACCGGTAGGATATAGTTCTAAACTATCAGATTAAGTCATCATCGTATCTAGTTAAGAGAGATATAACAATTTAGCATAACTTGATGAAAAACCGACGGTTTACTTTTATATCCTGCAATAGAATTCTTCTCATCACATTTGCCACTTTTGGATAACACAAATGCCCATAAAACTTTTATTAGATTGTGATTAATAGTTTCTGAAATTTTTAATTTTGGTATTTGGACGTCTTAAAACTGTCTCAGAGATAACGGTTGGATGTCTACCAAAATGCCGTTTTTTTTTCTTTTTTTTCTCTTCATTCAGGGACTAAAGTCTAAAATGAGCAAAAGTTAAATGGGCATTTGTTCAAAGGGGCTCAAATCTTTTGTCAAATTTTGGTATTTTTATTTCTTATTTGATTAGTTTTTCATACTATATCATCTTAAAATATTAAACGAGTATATCTTGATGTTCTAAGATTAACGGGTAGTTTTTATATGTTACATAATAAAAGCACATTAGTTGGACTGGACATAAATGATGAGACACTAAAATTTTACAAAAGACTTGAGTCTCTGACAAATTGCCAATAAGCCTTTTTTTTTATTAGCTCTTGAAATTCTCTTGAGACTTAAGAGTTACAACAAAAACTCATTAGTTATTTTTTCTTTTGCAGGTTCATTCGTCTCCAAATAGAAGCCTTTTTTGGGTTTGTGTTGTTAAGAATTTCAACAACACAAGGGGTTCCACTACAACTCCAGGAAGTTTCACTTGAAGGGATCATAAATTTCTGCAGACATCCGACGTTCATAATCGAAACTTATGTGAACTATGACTGTGATCCCCATTGCAGAAATGTGTTTGAGGAGATTGGAAAGTTGCTTTGCAAGCACTCTTTTCCAGTGAGTAGCCCTTTGACCTCTTTAAAGATCCAAGCCTTTGAAGGACTGATGGTTATAATTAACAACATCGCAGACAATATCGACCGAGAAGATGATTCAACCCCTTTTGAGCCATACCCAATTGAGATTTCCGAGTATATACCCTTTTGGGAAGACAAACCAAGTGATGATTCCATGAATTGGGTTGACTTTTTGAGGCTAAGCAGAGCACAGAAAAGAAAGTTACTAATTGCTGCTTACCACTTTAACCATGATGAGAAGAAGGGCTTAGAGTACTTGAAATTCTCCAAGTTGTCTCCTGATCCTCCCGATCCGAAATCCTATGCTTTCTTCTTTAGGTACACCCCGGGATTGGATAAGAATATGCTTGGAGACTATCTTGGCGACCCTGATGAGTTTCATATCCAAGTCCTGAAAGAATTCACTGAAACTTTTGAATTCACTGGCATGGTTCTTGACACTGCTCTAAGAAATTATCTGGAGAGTTTTCGGTTACCAGGAGAGTCGCAGAAGATTCAAAGAATACTCGAAGCATTTTCAGATAGATTTTATGAACTAAAAACTGAAGACATCTTTGAAAGCAAAGATGCTGTTTTAATTCTTTGTTACTCTCTGATAATGCTTAACACTGACCAACACAATCCCCAAGTGAAGAAGAAGATGACAGAAGATGAGTTCATCAGAAACAATAGAGCAATCAATGGAGGGAAGGATCTTCCTAGAGAGTATCTCTCTGAGCTTTTCAATTCCATTTCAAACAATGCAATCACCATTTTCAGTCAGTCGGGTCAGTCAGTGGAAATGAATCCAAGCAGATGGATTGAGCTAATGAACAGGTCCAGAACTGTTCAACCTTTTAGCTTAAGCAATTTCGACCGTCGATTAGGGAGAGACATGTTTTCTAGCATTGCAGGCCCGGCAGTAGCATCTCTCTATGCATTTTTTGAGCACGCTGATGAAGAAGAGTTGCTCCACGAATGCGTTGAAGGACTGTTCTCCATAGCTAGAATAGCCCAATATGGACTAGAAGAGACCCTTGACGAGCTTCTTGCCTCGTTCTGTAAATTCACTACTTTGTTGAATCCTTATGCTTCAGCAGAAGAAACCCTCTTCGCTTTCAGCCATGATTTGAAGCCTAAGATAGCCACACTCGCGGTTTTCACCATTGCAAACAATTTTGCAAACTCAATTCGAGGGGGTTGGAAGAACATAGTTGAGTGCTTGTTGAAGCTCAAAAGGCTTAAGCTACTTCCCCAATCTGTTATCGAATTTGATGCTACTTCCCCAACAACATCCGGGTCTGGTGCGACCTTCCTTTCTAATGAAACCAAATTTGGCAGCCGCCAGGCTTCTGGCATGATCAATAGGTTCTCTCATTTTTTATCAATGGAGAGCATAGAAGAATCTCTTTCCCTAGGTGTAAGTGAGTTTGAGCAGAATCTGAAGATCATTAAACAGTGTCGAATTGGGAATATATTCAGCAACACTTCAAGCTTGCATGAAGATGCTTTGATCAATCTTGGGCGTTCTTTGATCTTTGCAGCTGCCGGGAAAGGCCAAAAGTTTAGCACACCAGTTGAGGAAGAGGAAACTGTTGGCTTCTGTTGGGACTTGATAATTGCCATTACTTTGGCCAACATACACAGATTCCAAAGTTTTTGGCCTGCTTTTCATGACCATTTCCTTGCAATCGCCCAGTTTCCTATGTTCTCCCCTATCCCATTTGCTGAGAAGGCCATTGTAGGACTCTTCAAGGTATGCCTCAAAATCCTTGGGACATACCAACCCGAAAAATCCCCCGAGGAGCTCATCTTCAAGTCGATAAACTTGATGTGGAAGCTTGAAAAGGAAATCCTCGACACCTGTTGCACGTTCATAACACAATCGGTGAATAAAATTCTCATAGAGTTCCCTGCAAATCTGAATAGCCAACTTGGTTGGAAGTCGGTTCTCCACTTGTTATCGATCACGGGACGCCACTCTGAAACCTATGAGCAAGGAGTTGAGACATTGATCACGTTAATATCTGCTGAAACACATGTTTCCAAGTTGAATTACGCCTATTGCATTGATTGCGCCTTTAGTTTTGTTGCACTAAGGAACAGTCCATTAGAAAAGAACATCAAGATACTTGACCTTTTAGCAAACTCGGTTAGTAAATTAGTGCAATGGTACAAAACACAGTGCTTAGAGCTTGAAAACAGCTACAGTGTCACGAGCAGTGCAAGTAGCTCTTCCTTAGAGGACAACAACTTCAAAGGACATGGTAATTCTCTCAATCTCTTCATGAACTTGTTCATCAAACTAGGCGAGGCACTTAGAAAGACTTGCTTGGCTAGACGAGAGGAGATAAGAAACCATGCAGTTTTGGCCCTTCAGAAGAGCTTCCAACTAGCAGAAGAGCTCGATTTCACACCGAGCAACTGCATCAACTGTTTCAACCTCGTGATCTTTGCGATGGTAGACGACTTGAACGAGAAGATGTTGGAGTACTCGAGGAGGGAAAACGCGGAGAGGGAAACTAGAGGCATGGAAGGGACTTTGAAGATTGCTATGGAGTTTTTGACAGAAGTGTACTTGAGGTACGTGAAGCAGATATCAAGCTGCCCTGGCTTCAGGACTTTTTGGTTGGGAGTTTTGAGAAGAATGGACACTTATATGAAGGCTGATTTAGGCGAATATGGCGAGTCGAAATTGCCTGAAACAGTGCCTGACTTGTTGAGAAAGATCATCAAAGAGATGAAGGAGAAGGAGATTTTGGTGCCAAAGGAAGGTGATGATCTTTGGGATATAACTTATATCCAAATACAGTGGATTGCTCCTTCCCTCAAAGAGGAGTTATTTCCTGAAGAAAGTTTTTGATTAGTCATAAATGTAATGAAAAGCTAGTTTTTTTTTTTTTTTTTTAGCTAATGCAAAAGCATCCTAAAGATTAAAGTAAAATGTCAAAATGCAAATACAATCATCAAAGTGATACAAACTGTTTCACTGTAGTGTATGTATATGTTTGTGATGATGGGTGTGTTTGTACCACACTCTTGCTTTTGGTGAATATATTACAAACTGCAAGTTGGCATATTTTGTTTTTTCCATTTGGTCTCGCAAATAATCTATCCTCTAATCTTTTAAGACAAGATTCATAGAGTAGGCAAATCATAATATCTAATTCAAGGTAATCATAAAAGTTTTGCTTTTATCCTAACAAACCTTAACTTGTCTCGTCCCATAATTATTTCTCTGTTGCCCTGTCATCTCTTGGTTTTTGTCCTTTTTTTATTCCTTCGTTCTCCATTTTGTATTAGGAACAAGAAGAGAATCACTGTAAAAGAAGTAACGACAATAAATATAACTGCGTATAAGCTTTTTCATGGTTTCTTGGTGGAAAAAAAACCCAGCAACCATGATAATTACAATGGACAGTTTCCGAAAGTGTAAAATTGGTTTTATAACCCAAAAAATTACAACCATAACATAAAAATTAAGAGGG